GTTCTTGCCAACTTTTACACAGTCCCCTCAAGCTCTCCTAATGCCGGAGCCGCCAGGCAGAGCTCCCAGATGGCCAGCCGCCATTTAAGAAGTACAGATTACTTCACAGGCCACTGGGACACATGACTGATAGCACCTTGATAGCACCTTGGGGAAATGCAGCCCATTTATAGATAACCTGCTGGGGACACCTGATGTGTGATGTCAGCTGTCCCCCCAGCTGGCACGGCTCCTATAGAGCAGATGAGAGGACTTTGATGTCTGTAACATGTTGGACTTGCTCAATCCCGGTACCATGGGCATGCTCTGCTACGCTTTTCCTTGGCCCTGGCTGTTCCTCACCCTCAGATCACTCCCTAGTTGGGGCTGAATGCCTAGAAGCACACTTCTATGTTTATGTCGTGCCCCCCATCAACCTCTGGTGGAACTGGGGAGTGTTTTCCCCTGAAAAAAAGAAGGGTTTTCATCACTATGAAAACTCAGCCATTTGACAAGAATATCATCTTAGGACAGGTGGAGAATATTGAAGAAAAAAAACTGTCCCCGATATCCAAATTCTAGAAAGTTGAATGAAACAATTGAATAAAAAGAATAATTTAACTGCATTGGTATTTCTTTTGTACACACACTGGTAGGTACTTTTGCTTCCCATTCACATCTTTGTTTTAAGGAACAGTCATGGTGTTATTTAAGAAGAACATCTAGAAAAATATGTGCTGAAGTTCCCTGGCTTATTTTAAGCTTAAGAAAAGGATTACCACTTGCTTGTTGAGAAATTGGAGCCCTGGAGGCGCGGTGGTTAAGAGCTCAGCTGCTGACCAAAAGGTCGACAGTTCAAATCCGTCAGCCCTGCCTTGGAAACTCTATGGGGCACTTCTACTCTGTCCTGTAGGGTTGCTATGAGTCGAAATTGACTCGATGGTGACGGGCTTGTTGAGAAATTCGTGGGAAGCAGTTAGTGATTTTGGGAGTGAGTCAGTGGTAGGAGGAGAGATTCATCGGGGAGAGGTTCTAGTTGGTTTTCCGCTGCCCTGGGATGGCTGCCGGGCTGGTAGCTGCCCTGGAGGCCGTGGTGTGGCTCCTCCCTGCTGATCAGCAGGTGGCACCAAATAGCTGAAAACGAACCTGGAGCGAGGTATGTGGTGCTTGGATTTTTACCTTGAATTGGGTTAAATTGCACTTTCTATACCCTCAGAAATTTAGGATTAATGTCACTTTCACTTTTTTCCCCTAGAGATAGCATTCTCCAAGGCCAAATTTTATAAAAGTCTTTGATATTGAGATTAAAAAAAAAAAAAACAACCCATTGCCGTCCAGTTGATTCTGACTCACAGTGACCCTACAGGACAGAGTAGAACTGCCCTATAGGGTTTCCAAGGAGCACCTGGTAGATTCGAACTGCCGACCTTTTGGTTAGCAGCTGAGCTCTTAACCAAGATAGTTATAAAAATTTACTGTCTCCAAGGCCAAGTGGTACCTGACAATATTGATTTTTTTTTTTTCACTGATTTTTATTATGAAGGTGGTTACGACTCTGAAGTTCAAAAGCAACTGTAAGCTCATTTAGTAGAATATACTAACTGGATTAGATTTTTTAATTTTTGTGTGTGTTTTTATGAAATCTTATAAATACGTTGCTAATATAAATGCTAAAATTAATCTACCAGTACATTTGTATTGTTGGGATTGATTATGTCTACCTGCTGGGAATTCAGAGCCCAGATCGCGTAGCGGTTAAGAGCTCAGCTGCTAACCAAAAGATCAGCAGTTCAAATCTACCAGCTGCTGGTTGGAAATCCTATAGGGTCGTTCTCTGTCCTATAGGGTCGCTGTGAGTTGGAATCGACTTGGCGGCAACGGGTTTGGTTTTTGTTTTTGGATAGGGATTCAGCATTTTACTCCCATCTCAGAGTTTTCTGTTTGAGAAAACATGGGGGAGCATGTGAGTTACAGATGTTGTGGCTCAGTTTTACGGTTGTCCCCATGCTTCCTCCTTGGGGACGTGTGGGCTGGGTCAGTGAGTTCTTGGATAGTTTGTGAGAAAACAGCTAATGACAAACGGGGCAGTTCTATGCTTGTGCCACCCAATTGTTACACTATTTAAGGTGTAGTTCATGTGATTCTGCTTAATTTACTTACCATGGAAACCTGGCTGCATGTGACATGTGTGATTATGTGCTGGAACTTGAGAAAAGCCCCACTCAAGCACAACAAGAGCAATGTTTCTTTTCTACAAACGTGGCTTTATTTTGTTTATCTTCTTTGCATTGTGGCATATGTGAGGGAAAATAAAATCAGCTCCTGGGTGGTCGTTTTGTTGCTGCTGTGTGGTGGTCTGATGTCTTATTAGTACACCAGCTAGTAATTGGGAGCTCTGGTGGTGCAGTGGTTAAGAGCTCGGCTGCTAACCAAAAGGTCGGCAGTTCAAATCCACCAGCTGCTCCTTGGAAACCCTATGGGGCAGTTCGACTCTGTCCTGTAGGGTCTCTATGAGTCAGAATTCACTGACAATGGGTATTCTGGTCTGTGTGCACATTCTTGGTCCACATTGAACGAGGCTTTCGTTAAATGAGCATCCAATATTTGAATATTAATATGGAAGTGATCGGGGGGGACAGACAAGCATCTTTTCCCTTGGGACACCTTTCTACCACTGACAAGGAGGGTGACATCTTTTTAATTCTTATTATTACATTTGCAGTTTAATGTAACTTACTTAGATGGTTTCGTAGAGCTGACTGAGCCTGAGTCCCTGTAACTTACTTAGACGGCTTTGTAGAGCTGACTGAGCCTGAGTCCCTGTAATTTACTTATATGGCTTTGTAGAGCTGACTGAGCCTTAGTCCCTGTAATGAAATTTAAAATATGCAGGAGTTTGATTAACCACACCAATAACAATCAAGCACTCAGCCTGACTCAAACCAACAACCAATCCCTCGTCCCTCAGGTCCAGTCTTTCAGCAAGCCCTGAAAGCTCTCCCTCTGAAGCATACCCACTTCTTACCACCCCCATTTTACCACCCAAGGCCCAGCCATTGCTGTCTCTGGGGTAACCTCCCAGCTGGCCCCTGCATCTGTTCTTGCTGCTATGATCTGGTTTCCTGCCTCAGGAGTGGTCTTTTAAAAACATAGCTCCACTTATGTCAGTTATTTGCTTAAAATCCTGCAGCAGCTTCCCATCACACTCAGGCTGACCGAGCCCTTTGTGGCCTGGCCCCACTTCCCTCTCCAACCTTGTCTCCTATGCGTTTTCACTAGACTTCAGCCACACTGGCCTTCTTTTCGTTCCTCCATGTTGCTCCTCACCATAAGGACTTTATACGAGCTGTTTCCTTGGCCTGGAATACTGTTCTTAATCTATGCATAACCTGTTCCTATTTGACATTGAGATCTCAGTTTAAATACTGGGTCAGAGGGGCCCTCCCTGACCACCAGACCTAAAATAGACGCCCACTCTTCATCACATCTCTCTGCTTTCATTTTATTTTCTTTGAACTCTCTTGTTCCTTCTTGTTGGCTGTTTGTCCAACTCCTCCTACGAGGATCTGAGCATCACTACGAGCAGGGCCCTTACCTTGTTTACTGTGATACGCTAGCATCTGGAACACTGCCTGGTACATAGTAGGCCTTCTGTACGTCTTAGTTGAATGAGTAGGTCATGGCTGTATTGAGGGAGAAGCTATATTCAAAGCTAAACACATTTCTTGTAATTCTCTGAAGACACTGATAAAGTAAAGACAGCTGTGGGCCAGAATTTATTCCTGAAAAATACTGTGACCCTGGGTGGGGGCCTGAGGAGTGGGCGTGGGTGCTTGTGGTAGAATCTGTAATGACACAGCAATGTAAATAATTGCAGTCATTATTTATTAAGCACCTTCTGTGTACTGACGCTGTCCTTGGTGCTATATTTACTGTCTCATTTAACTTTAGGCGTCAGCTTTGTAATATGTAAATTGAGATGTTTAGATAAAGTGATCTGTCAGTTCGCATATATAACATTTTACAAATTTCCAGGAGAAGCTAAAAGATTATACTTTGTGGTGACATACAATAGAAATAGGTGAGTTCGTTCAGAAGCCCCAAATAGTTGTTGATCCATTGCTGATAAAACTCTCAAATTATAAATTTAAACTTTAGGAAGAAGGGAGAGATCCACTATTTGTGGGACGTCCATTGTCTCTTTCAGTCTTCCCAACAACCTGTACAGCATCCACTCACTCTAATGGTTGGGGACACTGAGGCTCAGATATGTTAAAGGTCACACACATGTTATGAGGCAGTGCTGAAATTCAAAACCAGTTTTGACTGACGACAGAGGACTTGCTCTAGACATTCCATGCACTTAATGTTTGGTGTTATCCTGGTAGTTTTATGGGGACTGTACTCACTTGGCACATCTAAGTATGTGTCTTAGTTACCTAGTGCTGCTGTAACAGAAATACCACAAGTGGATAGCTTTAACAAACAGAAATTTATTCTCTCACTGTCTAGTAGGCTAGAATTCCAAATTCAGGGTGTCAGCTCCAGGGGAAGGCTTTCTTTCTCTGTTGTCTCTGGCAGAAAGTCTTTGTTATCAATCTTCCCTTGGCCTAGGAGCTTCTCAGTGCAGGGACCGTGGGTCCAAAGGAAGTGCTCTGCTCCCGGTGCTGCTTTCTTGGTGGTATGAGGTCCCCCTGTCTCTCTGCTCGATTCTCTTTTGTATCTCAAAAGAGATTGACTCAAGATACAACCTAATCTTGTAGATTGAGTCCTGCCTCATTAGCATAACTGCCTCTAATACATCCTCATTAACATCATAGAGGCAGAATTTACCACACATAGGAAAATCGCATCAGATGACAAAATGGCGGACAGTCACACAATACTGAGAATCATGGCCTAGCCAAGTTGACACATGTTTTTGAGGAACACAGTTCAATCTGTAACGGTATGTCTTGCCTTTTTTCCTCCCAGAACTCTAAGAAGGAGCTGATGTGGAGGAGCAGCTGAGACAGTTCAAGATGACGACCACCGTAGCCACAGACTACGACAACATTGAGATCCAGCAGCAGTACAGTGATGTCAACAACCGCTGGGACGTGGATGACTGGGACAATGAGAACAGCTCCGCGAGGCTGTTCGAGCGATCCCGAATCAAGGCTCTGGCAGGTAGGCCTCCTTCACACCCATCAGAGGCCCAGGATGCTTTCAAGTCTCCTCTAAAGTCATCCCCCCTGTCCCAACATGGCTACCCTGTTTAAAGATCATTTCACCTCTATGTACACATCTCCCATGGGAGCAAGCTGACCATTTTGGAAGGTGGCCAATTCTATATTTGTAGAACTGCCAATCCTAACATCCAAAGGGATTCTGAACGTAGATGCATTGCATATCTTTAATAGTTAATCCTGGAGAGTGGTTTTTATAGTGACTCAGGAAGAGCTGCTCTTGGTTTGGAAGACTCTTTTAGTTTTGATGCATCTGTAATTGTCTCATGCTTGCCTCGATTTTTACATTTCAAAATCTTGAAACATACTATACCTTATACACAAAGATAATGCAAATTAATCTGTGTCCTTAGGGCTTGCGACGTATTCATTGACTTGGCCTGTTCTGATAGAGTGCTTAGTATGAGTGACCAAAGCTGGTTTGGTATCACGTGCAAGGGTTCAGATCTGTGAAGCGATCGCTTCATCTGGTGAGGGCACATTTAATGTAGTAACAGGTAAGTTTGCCATTGGCTCGTTTAATGTTAGTGGAATGCGTTCTTACCTCGTGGTTTCTCACTCCCTTCTTGGTGTTGAATACCTAGAAGCACACCTTTCGTGATGCCCCCTCCCCTTTCTGGAGGTTGGGGAATATTTTGCCCTGGAATTGTCCCGAAAATCAGAAAAGGGCACCCTCACAGTGAAAACTCAGGAGTACTGAATACATGTGAACCGAGGGCCAAAGCGGAGTGTATTCCAGATCTTGTGTTTGTGCTCTGAGATTTCAAATGAAGTTGTTTCTGAATGAGGAAAGTGGGTTCCTCAGGTTTTTTCCCCTCAATGTCTTTATGATATGTGAGTCGAAGTCATGATGTATGTAACCAGGTAAGTTTACTGTTAATTGTGAATATGTCTCATTTTTCACTCTGTTTATAATGGAAGCTGATTATAAAGCATGTATTATTTAGGGCTCTCTTGATTGCAAGCAAAAGGAAACCGAACCCAAAGTGGCTTGAACGACAAAGAGAATTTATTGGCCATACAGAAGAAAAAATTTGGCCTTTAAGCAAGACTTACTGCTGGGCTTAAATGGTTGATGAGAACCCAGTTTCTTTCTCTCCACTGTTTGGTTTTGCTTGCTAATAAGAGCTCTGTTCTCAGGCAGGCTCTACCCCGTAGTCATGAGATGGCTGCCCCAGGGCCTCTTGGGCCTTCCGGGCGTCCAGCAGAAGGGGCCTAGAATCAGTCTCACTGGCCTGATGGATCTGACTTGGGTCATGTGCCTCTCCCAGAACCGCTCTCCCACTGGGGCTGGGAATAGGATATGCTGATTGACTTCAGCTCTCAAGACTCACCTCTGGAGTGACAGTTGGGTCATTCCCACCCAAACAGCTTAGCTAGAAAATTTAGACTATTACCAGCAGGATCAAGAGGGAGGGGAATGGATGATGGGGGTGCAGCCAACTAAATACTGTCAGAAAATAAGACAAATTGTTAGGATAATTTGTCTCTTGAGTAGTAGGAATTTAAAGATCTTTCTTGAACTTTCCTGATTTGAGGGCATAAAATGAATGGTTAATCAGTTAGTCTGTCGTTTTAGAACTGGGGCTTTATTTTCTAGGTCATTCAATAATATATGAGACCTTACGAAGCCATGATCCTGGCTTGGGCCAGTGGGTTGATTTGTACTTTAATCTTTTGCCACTTTTCCTTGAGTCTTATTTGGGCCTTTTGGACCAGCCACCTTTGATCATGAGCCATTTACTTTCTGATTCCAGGCCACCATGTAGAATTATCTCCCTTTTAAGGATAATTTTACTGGCAACCTGCGGAGCAGTTCCTTCCTCTTTGTATCTGTTCTTTCCCATGGATCCTCGTGGTTCCAGAGGAGAGTCCCCAGCTGTCATTATTTATTGATCAGTTGTCCTAACCCTACCTAGGATGTTGTCTTAGTCATCTAGTGCTGCTGTAACAGAAATACCACAAGTGGATGGCTTTAACAGAGAAATTTATTCTCTCACAGTCGAGGAGGCTAGAAGTCCAAATTCAGGGCGCCAGCTCCAGGGGAAGGCTTTCTCTCTCTTTTGGCTCTTGGGAAGGTCCTTGTCATCAATCTTCCCCTGGTCTAGGAGCTTCTCAGGCACAGGGACTCTGGGTCCAAAGGATGCGTTGTATTCTCTGCGCTGCTTTCTTGGTGGTATGAGGTCCCCCTTTCTCTCTGCTCGCTTCTCTCTTTTATATCTCAAAAGAGATTGGCTTAAGTTGTAGATTAATCTTGTAGCTTGAGTCTACATAACTGCCACTAATCCCATCTCATTAACATCATAGAGATAGGATTTACAGCACATAGGACAATCACATCAGATGACAAAATGGTGGACAGTCACACAATACTGGGAATCATGACCTCACCAAGTTGACAGATATTTTGGGGGGACGCAGTTCAATCCATGGCAGATGTCTTTCCCTGTATGCCGTCTAGGTCCTGAATAATTATAGTCATACTAATAATAGCAGGCACTCAATGTGTTGCTCACAGTGTGCCAGGCCCTGTTCTAAATGGTTTACATATATTAACAGTTAATCCCATGATAGCCATCTGAGGAAGATTATTATTGTCTACATTGTAGAGGTCAGGAAACTGAGGCACAGAGGGATTAAACAACTTGCCCAAGGTCACGGTGCTGATAAGTGGTTGAAGGCGGACTGGCTCCAAAGTGTATACTCTACTGTTTTTTATATTCAGTAAAATACAAAATGATAGAAAGCTCACTGGTGTAGAATATTTATAGTAAGGTAATTGCAACATGGTACAAAGGTCTTTGGGAGGTTTAGGAATGCACCCTATGGGCCTAGAAGAAACAATGAGTAACCATGGCCAGTAACTGAAAAGAAAAGGTGCTGCCTTCAGATTAAATGATTTTTTTTTTAAAAAAGAATTGCTTTAAGTGAATCCAGACGAGACCAGAAAAACCACAGCCTTCGATCTGTTTAATGGAGGAAATAATCTTACTTCCTAGTTCTGTGGGACTGAAAAATCTCTGAGCCCTCTAAGAAGCCATATGCTGATAGGAGAAGTAACAGCCCAGCCCAGCAGTGTTGAGAGGAAATCAGCAGCTCTCAGATTTGAGCATGCATTAAAAATAACTGGCAAACCAAAAACCCAAACCCCCTACCATCGAGTCGGTTCCGACTCAGAGCGACCCTCTAGGACAGAGCAGAATTGTCCCATAAGGTTTCCAAGGAGTGGCTGGTGGATTCGAACTGCCGACCTTTTGGTTAGCAGCCGATCTGTTAACCACTGTGCCACCAGGAATACTTGGAGGGCTGGTTAAACACAGGATGCTGGGCCCCACCCTTGGAGTTTCAGTTTCGGAAGGGTTGGGTGGGGCCTGAGAATTTCATTTCGAAGGGTTCGCAGGTGATGTGGAGTGACTGGTCCAGTGGAGCACAGTTTGAGGCTGATGTATGACATCAGTGGCTGTGTGGGCCACTTCCTTGAGTGTCTGAGACCATTTCATCTAGACCTAGCTGAGGTTTAGGTGGAAGGAAAGTATCAAACTCAACAATTGTCTAAAGACACACTTTAGTATGGGACTGGTATGGATGACTGACCACCTCATTTTGAGAAAAGAGAAATAAATGTCTTTCCTGTAAGATAGGGGGAGCCCCGGTGGCACAGTGGTTAAGAGCTCGGCTGCTCACCAAAAGGTCAGCAGTTCCAATCCACCAGCCGCTCCTTGGAAACCCTATGGGGCAGTTCTCGTCTGTGCTGTAGGGTCGCTATGAGTCACAATTGACTTGACTGCAGCGGATTTGGTTTTTTGGTTTGAGAGAGAGAGAAAGGAGAGCAGGGAAGATAGATACCCACTTTTAACAGCCGGCAACTGGTATCTCTAGGGAAGTATGGGGATAAAGTGTGTTTTATTATTCATCCAGTTTATAGTTACTTTTTATTAGTAGGTTGCAATAACATATGCTATATATTATAGCCTGTGAGTTGTAAAAACTATTCTTCTTGATTTTTGCTTTACTTGCCTTCTTCCTTTTCATCCTCAGAATTAGCTTTTAACTCAGTTGTTGTTAGCTGCCTTGAGTTTGCCCCAACTCATAGTGACTCCGTGCACGATAAGATTGGACTCTGGTGATCCATGGGGTTTTTTGTTGCTGATTTTAGAAGTAGATCACCAGGCCTTTCTTCCTAGTCCATCTTAGTCTGGAAGTTCCAGTGAAACCTGACAGACTGGTGTGGTGGTGCTTGAGGTGCATGGGCCGGGAATTGAACCCGAGTCTCCCACATGGAAGGCAGTAAGAGCCTGATATTTCACACAGATGACTTCTCTGGTGTAGCATGTAAACATGTCAAATTTTGTCAAGTGCCAGGTTACGGTCACAAAAATGAACGAGTCTGGACTTGGGTTACTTCCGTTGCCCAGTGATTTTTGGATCTTTCCATTCTCCTTTAATATTTTTGTTTAAAAATCAGCGTAATTACATCTCAGTCACCTGACACCCCTTTTTGCTCCTTAGTAGCCAGACACAGCCTGACGCCCTGAGAGAAAGCACAAGGAACTGTACTGTCTGGTCATCCTAATCCAATTAGAGCAACTCCTGGAAGGATTAAAAGCTGCGGCTTTCTCTCTAAGTAGAAAGCTTCCCCCTCACAAAAGTTGGAAGAAGAGGGAGTCTGTCATGTCTTCAGCTTGTAAAGATTGAAGACTTACATAATTTACTTAAATAATTAGAATTAATGTTGACTGTCATCACTGTCTTAGTCATCTAGTGCTGCTATAACAGAAATACCACAAGTGGATGGCTTTAACAAAGAGAAGTTTATTCTCTCACAGTCTAGGAGGCTACAAGTCCAAATTCAGGGTGTCATCTCCAGGGGAAGGCTTTCTCTGTTGGCTCTGGAGGAAGGTCTGTGTCATCAATCTTCCCTTGGTCTGGAAGCTTCTCTGT